CATTACACTAATATATATATATATATTAGATAATAGTGGTCATTATCTAATATTGACTAATAATGTAAAAATATTGTAAAAATAACTGCTCGAATAAAAGAGTCTCTATTGTAATATATATTATCTGATATACAATATTAAATACTTAGATAATCAGATTATTTAGATACATTAGTAGAGAACTATAGTAGAGTGTCCCAAAATTATGGTATTTCCTAGAAATGAAGGGTTCTTGAGGTGATTTGAAACAACTTTTTCCTTTACAACAATTTTCTCCGTGGCATCGTTAACGAATTATTAACGAAAAACACTGACCAATGATGAGCGAGCTCGCTTGGCGCTAGGCGGCCGAGCCAATGAGCGGAACTGGGCTTCGTGCGCTCGTTGGCTCGGCCGTCGCGCGTCAGCCGAGCTCGTCTCTCATTGGCCAGTGTTTTTTCGTTAATAATTCGTTAACGATGCCTCGGAGAAAATTTTTGTAAAGGAAAAAGTTGCTTCGAATGACCTCAGGAATCTCTAATTTCCCGGATGTACCATAATTTTGGAACATCCTGTATATATAACCTATACATATACACATCTAATCTATCTCATATTATCTAATAATCTATCATATTATCTACAATATTAGATAATATCCAAACTTTGTATCCAAACCTAATCATTGCATTATTTGGATACGTTATTACCTAGCAAAGAACTTGAATGAAATTTTTAGATAATATAACGTTTTTTAATCATGATATTACAAATATAAACGTTCAGATAAGAGAGCCTCTACTGTACCAAAAAAAAACCAGAAAATTCTCAAGCAGCTTCCTTGCAATCGATGCGATGAATTCGTATCTTCCGCGCGGATCCGCAGTCTGCTAATTAGAAATCCGAAGAAAATCACTGCGGAATCGTCTGCGGAAAGTCTGCTCGCCCCCTATTAATCGCGAACCTTCGCCGCGATTTTTCCGGTCGCGTTATTTTTATTACGTCCCCGTAGCTCACCTGTTTCTTCTATGCCGATACAGGTGATCAACTACGACAGTCCCCGGGGCGGCGTGTCCGTGATCACGGAGAAGGGCGAAGTTACAACCTCGTATCTCCTGGTGCAGCGTGCTCAGCCTGCAGATAGCGGCCAATATACCTGCCATCCTAGTAATGCTAATACAAAGACTGTCTTGGTGCACGTACTTAACGGTATGTATGTAAAGTTCGCTGAAAGTTTAAATCTGCCGATGGTGGAGTCTCCTACGCCGTTCATTCCGACTCGGCTTTTCTCTATTCCCACCTTCCATCCTCCTCGCCCGCGCTTCTCCATTTTTTTTCCTCCCCCGTTCTTGACTCACGGGCTCCTTCATCTTCTTTTTTTTTTGTTAATTCGAAAGCTGTTCAAATACGCGCCCCCTCGCGCTCCTCTGCGCGCGCGCGCGCTCGTTGAACGCGGAACGAGGAGACGTAGCCTCGAGTGATAGCGCGAATCAGAGCCGGGCATACGTTACCCGGAATGTAAAGCGAAAGAGTGATGTAATGGATAATAAGTCATTTCTTATGCAGTCAGCGAGGAAAGTGGTTGAAGGAGCCGCGGGGATGAGCACGGGCCCGTTATTAGATCCGGCGATCTTGTTTCATTAAATACGCGGCCGCGAGGAAAATTACGCGAGCCGAGTGTTTCGCCGCGAAAATTTCAGTTCCCGACCTTAAGAGGATTTTCTGCTTCCGACGCCTCGAACGATCAACTTTTCGAACGGTCCGCAATTTTTACCGGACAGTATACGTCATAAACGCGCGGACACGCCGCGCCGTCCTAACGAAATAACAAAGGTCGCAAACTCGATGCGTGTAGCCAATGTAATACATGAAAAGGCTTGGAATGAAATTGTTCAAATCGGATATTGTTGATATTTTTCGATTGGTTCCGATGCGGCAGTTATTTATCGGATTCGAACGTTTCTGTTTCACAGGGAACAGTTGCAAAAAACCGCTGTAACTTTTATTCCATACGTTTGTGCATGAGCTTGACGAACAGAAGATTTTCATTTTATCGGAAATGAAAAAGCGTTGTAGTTCGAATCATTATTCGGAAAGTTCTTTCGAACATAATTTTCCGCTTTGTATTCGAAGCGGCTGGATTACGCATTATACAGGATGTCCCGAAAATATGGTACTTTCGGGAAATAAGAGGTTCCTGAGGTCGCTCGAAGTAACTTTTTCCTTCACAATAATTTTCTCCGAGACGCCGTTAACGAGTTATTAACGAAAAACAGTGACCAATCAGAGGCGAGATTGACCGCTCATTGACTCGGCCGCTTCGCGGTGAAGTGGTGATTCCTGAGGTCGTTCGAAGCAACTTTTTCCTTAGCGAAAATGCAATCCGCGGCTTTGTTTGCGAGATATTAACGAAAAACAGTGACCAATCAGAGGCGAGATTGACCGCTCATTGACTCGGCCGCTTCGCGGTGAAGTGGTGATTCCTGAGGTCGTTCGAAGCAACTTTTTCCTTAGCGAAAATGCAATCCGCGGCTTTGTTTGCGAGATATTAACGAAAAACAGTGACCAATCAGAGGCGAGATTGACCGCTCATTGACTCGGCCGCTTCGCGGTGAAGTGGTGATTCCTGAGGTCGTTCGAAGCAACTTTTTCCTTAGCGAAAATGCAATCCGCGGCTTTGTTTGCGAGATATTAACGAAAAACACTGACCAATCAGAGGCGAGCTCGCCTAGCGCTAGGCAGCCGAACCAATCAGAGACGCGCTCGCCGAGCGCTAGGCGGCCAAGCCAATCAGTGGAACTGAGCTCCAACCGCTCGTTGGCTCGGCCGCTTCGCGTCAGCCGATCTCGCCTCTCATTGGTCACTGTTTTTCGTCAATATCTCGTAAACGAAGCGGCGGATTGCATTTTCGCCGAGGAAAAAGTTGCTTCAAATGATCTCAAGAATCTCTCATTTCCCGGAAGTACCATAATTTCGGAACATCCTATATAATGATTCTTTATTTTGCTCAGTTTTCCTTTCAATGTAGCATACAATATAATATATACATAAAATATTTATCCAATTTCCAGTTTCTTGAATAATGCTAAGTAAATTGAAAAATACGACTTTCATATTTTCCTCGAAAATGTCTGTTAACAAATAAATATTCCCAGAGAATTTTCAAATACAAGTCAACCGTTAATATTGAACGTTTATAACAGAATTAGAATCTTAACCCGAAAGTTCGCTTGAAACGGAAGAAGTAATAATTCAGAAGTCAGAAGTTAACTAGAGATAACTTATATTTGTAAAACATCACAGTTAAATTACTCCGGTTAAAATTGCCGTAGCTGGTGGAAGTTCGAAAGCTCGCGTCCATTAAAGATGATCAAAGAACCCTTGAAACTGGTAATCCATTTTGATCTGATCAAAATAAAATCCAATCTTTCTATTATCGATGTCCGGCCCCTAATTCGTTTCTCTTGTAGAAAGTTATCAGCGGGGAAGAAGAAGTTCTACCGATCGATCTCATTTGTACTTCCACCGCGACAGAAGGAACGAAATGTTCGATTCGTATCGTTTCGTTCGCCTGAAAATGTTTTGCGCGCGGATGCAAATTTTTCCTAACGAAACCGTTTCGCATCCGGCCGACAAAAAAATCTGCCAAGTGCAGAAACGAATTTCTGTTGTCGTAACCTCAAGAAATAAACGATGCAGGCTTCGATATTCGTTTCGGGGAACGTTGTTGCACGTCGAACGAGATGCCGGGACTTCGTTGGAACTATCGGCGGCCGCCGCGTTGTCCGGCGAATTATTATGCAATGGAAAATAAACTTTGTTGCGTTCCGGTGCATTTCCTCACGCAATTTCGCGGACGACTGTACACCTGCGCGTACGTGAATAATTCATAGCAGAAGCACTCATTTTCGTGGCCCATGAATGAAATTCTTCCGAGCCATGTTTTCATTCAATTAACGCTGTTAAACGCAACGATGAACAAAGGTGAAATTACAAACACGGTGTACGCGATACATTAAGCAGCGAAGCCGTAGTTTAGGATCGGATAAAAATAACCAACGCTGAAATCGACCGACGTTGGTAATTACGGTCGAGAGATGATCCGACCGAGCTTTACTCGCCGCGGAGGAAACTAACAATTGGACCGCGCGTAATTCGAGACGAATTCCGTGCCCGTTGTGTTGTGGGAATCAAAATGGAAGGGGGGAGGGGAACACTTCGAATAACCTTGACGGGCGTAACAGAGCAAAAAATTAATGCTCGTTAACCTTTTAGGCACGACGCGCCACTATAGTGGCTTTCGCGGATGTCATCTCTCTGGACGACGCGCCACTATAGTGGCTTGCTCTAGTAGCTCACTCGCTCATCGTTTGAACCAAATAATCGTCTTCATATGCATTGTTTCACACTTCTTTTATCTTCGCATCGATTTACAACAGTCTACAGGGTGTCCCAAAAATGTCTCGCAATCCGGAAATGGCGGGTTCCTCGGATCATTTGAAGCAACTTCTTCCTTTACAAAAATTTTCTCCGAGGCACCGTTAACGAGTTATTAACGAAAAACGGTGACCAATAAGAATCGAGTACGGCTGACGCGAGGCGGCCCAGCCAACCAGCGCGCGAAGCCCAGTTCCGCTCATTGGCTCGATCGCCTCGCGCCAGCTGAGCTCATTTTGATACGCGATTGCGTACGAGGCTCCGTAGTAAAAATGGTTAATGTATTATCAATTTTGACTACTTCTCATTGTAAAAATTTGTAGATATCGTTGAAATAGTAACAAATATACAGGGAGTCCCAAAAAATGTCTCGCAAACCGGAAATGAGAAGTTTCTCGGATCATTTGAAGTAACTTTCTCCTTAGCGAAAATGCAACTCGTGGCTTTGTTTACGAATTATTAACGAAAAACACTGACCAATGAGAGGCGAGCTCGCCTAGCGCTAGGTGGCCGAGCCAATCGGCGGAACTGGGATTCGACCGCTCGACCGCTGGCGCCGTTGGCTCACGCGAGCTTAGCTGGCGCGAGGCGACCGAGCCAACGAGCAGTCGAAACCCAGTTTCGCTCATTGGCTCGGCCGCCTTGCGCCAGCATATCTCGCCTCTCATTGGTCACTGTTTTTCGTTAATAACTCGTTAACGGTGACTCGGAGAAAATTTTTGTAAAGGAAAAAGTTGCTTCGAATGACCTAAGTAACCCGCCACTTTCGGATTGCGAGACATTTTTGGGACACCCTGTATATACAGTATCGGAGTCTGTACAGTACACATCAGACTCTGCCGTCCAGAGAAATAGCCTCGCGCAGAATTCAGCCGTACCTAAAAGGTTAATGGGAACGTCGCCTCGCGCTTGGCGAATTCGTCGCGAGCGTCGCGAGCACCGCGGAAATCTCTTGGCCATTTTAATAGCGCGTTGTTGTGAAATATTTTACATTCGCACGGGCCCCGCCTCAAAAGGAAGAATGTACGGCGCGAAGTTTCGAAGTCGCAACTTCGACCACGGCGAAGCACATTACGCGGTGGGACACGTGAATTTTAACGAGGGTCGTGTTCATCCACTTTTGTTATCTTCTTGCGCTCGAACAGCTCGTTTGCAACTTAATCTGTCGCGACACGCCAAACGGAAGTATTAAATTTTAACCCGGTACGTTCTGAGATCGTTTAGCCGGAAATGAAACTGCCGAATAAGCTGGAAAAAGGGCGCGCTGTTGTCGAGTAATTAAAGGGTTCGCGCACGTTTCGAAGCGTGACAGAGGAAATGGTGGTTAATGGAATGTCTCTCTAATTGACGCTCGGATTGTCCACAAAAATGGACGATTTGGGAAGAGAAGATACGATTATTCTAGAGTTAAAAAATTTTAATATCTTGAATATAATACAAAAGTATCTTAAAATTCTTTAAACGTATGTTCTCGGTTGCAAATTCGATTACGATCACGTTATGCACTTGCGAGAAAAATAATTAACTGAATTATAATATCGTAGAGAGATATAAAAACAATTTTTTAACACTGTTATACTGTTTTCAACTTGTCAAAATTATTGAGAATAATTTTGAAAATCAATCACTTTTAACCCTTTGCCATATTAAGCCATATTAACTGCAAATTTCCCGACTTATGGAATTTCCATTTTAATGACAAAGTGCATTTTATGCACATGAAATTGAGTCTTGTGACTCATACAACAGTTAGACTTTTAACAATTCTTTAT